TAGTTCATAACATCTAGAGTGATCAATATTGGTGGTACAAATCTTGAAATTCTTTCTGAGTTAGCTAGGTATATGTGCATGGATGTTCGTAGTGTGTTGCAACCAAACGAATTATAAGAATTTAGTCTTTTAAATTAGTAGAGGTGTAACGAAAGGCAATATCCAACTATATCAAAAATTGCACGTGATCTACTAACACCTCTGGTGTCTACGATAGTATCGGAGGCTGCATTCAGTTTAGGTGGTCGAATTTTATCAGATGAACGATCAAGACTAAAAGAAGATATATTGGAGGCTTTGATATTCTTGAAGGATTGGGAATGTGCGGAATTACGTGTTCAAGAATATGTTGATAGTATAATGGCCGAAGAATTGCAGCATATTCAAACATAAGATGGTATAAGTTTTTAAATTTATTATTTTTCTTTAAGAAATGTATTTTTTAAATTTATTTGATTCAAGAAAAATTGTATACGAAATATTTTATTTGTGTAAAATTTTAACTCCGCCTACGTTGATTGTAACCGGTCCCAAACCCGAAAAAAGGAGGAGAGTTGTAATTTGTAACTTTTATTTAATTTGTTATTCGTATAAATTACATAATTCTGTAAGTTGTACTTTTATTTAATTTGTAAGTTGTATAAATAATAAATGATGTAATTTTTAAATTCTTTTAAAAAAATGTAAGTTTTGTAATACGATTAAACATTTAAAAAATATTCAACAATAACTATTTTAATATATTGAGAGAGCTTGATTGAAGTGGATTTTTAATAATATAATTTACTCCTATTTGGTTTGGTTAACAATTAAAATTTTAGTAAATCATTTTAAAAATTGATAAAATATTAAATATGTGATTAGAAGTTGATCCCGTCAATATATGATTAAAAATAAATTTTAAAAAATCAAAAAAGACAATAGATTTTCTTAGGACCAACATATTAAAAATCATTCTCTCATTTCGCTGTTCAAGTTGATTATACGAAATCTTATTAGTATACCTATATTCTAATATATTCATCGAGTAATACCAAGTGTAAAATTGTAAAACAGATTTTAGGTATTTATTTAACATTTAAAAATGCAAGAAATTAATATAATGATTCTGATGTTGCTACAAAATATAAGTTTTGCATGTATCTTTGACATAATGTGGTGATTTTACAGTTGTAATAATTATACTAAATTATGTTCACTTATTTAGTTAAAAAATATATACTGTGATGTCAATATTTAAATGCATAACATTGAATGGAGATAAATGACATCCAAACACATAGGCAGAATTTTAATTAAATTGTTCTTTGTGAAAATACTTTATTTATGTTTATTCTATTTGTATTTTTTTATCGGTATTCTATTTGTATTTTTAAATTTACATGTTCATGTAAAATACCTGTGCTCTATTATCAGCCCCGTTTTTAATTGAAGGCATAATTTCTTTGTCTTCTACATTAAACAAATTGCACTACAACAATTGACATGTGAAAAAAATGTCATTAAAAATTATATAAAAATTGGCAAGAAAAAAATTGAAAAAATCGAGCCGGCCCGACTCGGCTTGTAAAAAGCCCGAACCAAAAGCTCCGACCCAGAAAAAGCCCACTATGATATACTCGAGCCGAGCCCGAGCTGAGAATTTCGGCTCACAAGCCGGCTCGACTCGGCTCGTTTACATCCCTAGGTGGAGATAAGAGTAAAAATTATAAAAAGTGAAAAGTGATGACGTTTTCTCTAATAATAATAGTGAAATGTAAGGATGTATGCGCTAATTACCCTATAAATAGACAAGTAAATATTCTGACAATAATTTAAAATAATTTGAATTAAATTATGTGTAGTTATATTGCCATCATAATTTTTATTTGATACACAATATTTTAATTACAATTAAGTTCCTTAATCTTTGTTCATTATAGTAATTATTTTCTTAACTTTTTTTTGGTGGAATTCTTATCTTTAACATCCGATTAATTAGTTTGGATGGCAACGAGGAGGGTCGACTATTCGAGTACCCCCACCTAATCAAATATTTTTATTACCTTACCCTGCCCCCATACCTGGTTAAAGATGGCTAGGGCGGGCCAGTTCTCTTTTCTGTTTATCATCCCATCTATTATTATTATTATTATTATTATTATTATTATTATTATTATTATTATTATTNCCCTATTCATTAGTATGTCTCGTTGTTGATAATAATTTGTATCAAAATATTTTATTTTAATGATTTGAAATACGATTTTTTTTGCACATTTTATTTATTTATTTTTTAACATGAAATTTTTATCAAATACAAAAATATGTTAACTAATAGAAAGTTTGAGGATAAAAATGATATTGAAAACTTTTAAGGACCCGAGTGCTACAATGGGTAAAGATTAAGAACTTTGAATATAATTAAAATGTGGTGCGAGAAATAAAAATTAGGGATAATTGCAGCAGAGACCCCTAATCTTTAAAATATTAACAGACTTTTTTCAAACCTTTAATTCGGTGCAACTGTTACCCCAGACCTTTTGAAACGTTGCGACGGAGCCTTTTGAATGGTTCTATCCATTTCTTAGTCAGTTGACTTAAAAATTAAGTTTGACCATGGCTTTATATTTTAAAAAGGGGCAAAATAGTAATTATCTATTAAAATAAATTTTAGTTAAATAAAGAAAAATAAAGAACAAGGCTCTTGTACTTCTGAATCCAATATGTACCTCAATTTTGGTTCAATCTCATCAAAAACCCAAGAATTTTATCCATGGTTTTCAGATCCTTGAAATACAGGCACAATTCCAACTCCAGCAGAAGTAGCAGCAATTGCAAAACCAGCAAATGAATACTCTTTGCCATTTGCAACATAAGCAGAACCAATTTTGAAGATTTCTTGGTCCAAACCTTTCCCAATGAAGCATGCTGAAATTTCCCCCAAGCCCAGAAAGCTTTATTGAGGAGTGAGGTAGCGGCATTGAGGAAAATGGGTGGCGGAGATTAAACTTCCAAAGAACAAAACAAGGCTTTGGCTTGGGACTTTCGACACGACTGAAGAAGGGGCTTTAGCATATGATAAGGTTGCTTATAAGCTAAGATGAGAGTTTGCAAGGCTCAATTTGAAAGCCCAAGACTAGCTAATCAAGAGGGGGTGACTTGGTTATTGCAACTTTTTCAAAAAATAATTCTAAGTATACAACTGATATTCACTTAAATGTAGCAATTAATCAAATATTCAAAAACACGAAAAAAGCAAAGACTAAGATGAAATCACAAGTAATAAATAAAAGCAAAGATAAGTAAAAGGGAAGAGAAGTCAAACGATATGATATGAATGTTCAATCCAATGCAATGATCTACGTCCCCCATTACCAAGCCCTCCGTCACGAGCAAGGCCTTTTCACTATATTGATTCACTTATGGTGCAAACCTTCTTACAATGCTTCTGGTAACTTACAACAAATGAGCACCGATCCTTCTACAATGTTGAGATTTTTGGGACCTCAACTCGACCCGCAAGTTTGAAAATAAAGAGTTTACAAATAGAGATTTCTCTTGTAATGAATGATATATTCAGAGTTGAGTGTAAGAGAAGTTGGCTAACATTTTAGTAAATAGCAATAATTGAAGCTCAAGTATTAGACAAGAAAAACTTTGTTGAATGAAATGATTCTCAAAAGTTGAATCGATCAAAAGTTGTTCTAATGTAAATGAGTTGAAAAGATATATATATAGAGAAATGATTGAGCAGTTAAGATCAATAATATCTCACTTTAATGCTCACAAAGGTCTATCTTTGAATGCAAATGATCTAGTATTTATAGCAACAAAATCGTCAAAAGTTCTGTCTTACCGGACGAGGCTCCCGGACGTCCTCTAACTTACCGGACGATCAGCTAACCGTTTTTTGTTCAAAAATCAGAACGTTCAATTTTTAGACCGTTGGACAAACATGTAGTACCAGAGTCCACTAAGATTACTGGAAGGGTCCGTTAGGGTTACAGGACGCGTCCTCTAGGCCAATTTGCGTCCAACAGTTAAAAGTTTCCTTCTTTTAATGTTTTAAAAGGGTGTAATCTTATGGAAGATGTTTCTAACTTCTTTTTCAAGGTTTTTGACATTTCTTAAAGTGTATAATTAGGTTTATACCTTAAAAAAGATTATTTATACAAAAAATCATGTTTGTTGGGCAATTTTTTTTTTTTTTTTTTTGAGCTTCAAATGATATATTTGCCTAATAATAGAGTGTTTTATCTTTACATTTGAGATCAAGGTGTTTACGTCTAATTTCTTCTAATCTCTTCATTGTTTGACTTGATGAAGTGCTCGTTGATTTGTGTAGGTCGGCTTCTACTTTGTTCCATTTTTTGTGAAAGCTCCAAAAGCATCATTTTGTCTATATTTGTCATAACTTCTATAATCACTCAAATACAATTGTTAATAATAAACACAATTTGTTTGTTATAATTAAAACGAGAAGTCAATCATTGGTCAACACAATTTTCTCGACCTTAGGCATAGTGGAGAGAGGGAGATGATAGGGCTCTGGTTCTTTCTTTTATTTTCATTTTTATTTTTTTGCTTTTCCTAATTTAATTTTAACTTATTTTCATGTAGTAAATGAAATGTTACTATTTTACCATTTTAAAAATATTTAAAATATGGTCAAATTCAAATTTTTTAGTCAACTAACAAACATTTGGATGAAAACCGTTCAAAATGACCTCCACCTTAACGTTTCAAAAGACTTGAGGTAACGATTGCAACAAATTAAATGTTTAGAGAAAGTTTATTAATATTTAAAGGTTTGAGGCTTTGCTACAATTATCCCTACAAATTATGGTGTGAATATAACCCTTAAATTTTGAGATAATCCACTTTGTCAAAGAAAACGTAGGAGCAATAGAATATCACGAGACATCATATAAATCTTTATGTCAAGTATAATGTATATATAGCGTGGCTGTAAATTATTTCCCTAAGTAATCCGACTTCTGAAAAAGCGCGTTCTTTGTGCAGCCGTTTTTATCTCAACCTTTTGCCCCTTCTGATGAAATGAAATCTCTGTCGGACAGCGCCCCATGAACCATTCAATCTGAAGCCACTTGGAAGTTCAGGATGCTCTGCAGATAAAGTTCTCCCTCAAAACCAATTAGAATGAACTAAAGCACAAGTGAGTATTTTCATTCGTTCTCTCTTTGGAGGGCTTTAGGCTACCATGTTTTCAGTAAATCTTTATTGTAAACTCATCCCGTTCAAGAAAATTGCTGCAGATTCAAATGCATCACTTCCTTCACTTCGCGAAGATGGATTGAGTTTTAATACTGCTTTATCAGACTGCTATAAAAATAGAATCTTTATCAATTTCTGTAGTCTTGTGGATGTGGGCTCTACGGAGTTAGACTTAAGAACTGCAACTTCTGCACCCAAAAAGAAAAAAGTTTCAAAGAAATTGGCAAAAGAGAGTTCTTATACGATTTCTTATTTGATAAATTCATGTGGGCTATCTCCAGAGAAGGCTATTTCTGCTTCCGAGAAAGTGCATTTTGAAACACCAGAGAAACCAAATTCAGTTATAGCCCTTTTAAAGAATCATGGGTTTAGTAAAACCCATATTGCTAATCTTGTTAGGAGAAGGCCCGTGCTTCTTTTATCCAATCCTGAGAAGACCCTATTGCCCAAGCTTGAATTTTTCAAATCTATTGGGGTTTCAGAGGCTCACCTCGCGGGCACAATATCAAGAGACCCTACTTTGTTGACTAGAAGTTTGGAGAATCAAATTATTCCTAACTATAATTACCTGAAGAGCGTGCTATTAACTGACGAAAAGGTGGCTGCTGCTGTCAAGCGGACATCGTGGATTTTTCTAGAAGATCCTGGGAAGAATCTTACTCCAAATATTACGGTTTTGAAGGAACTTAATGTGCCGCAGTCATGTATCATATTATTATTGACACATTTTCCGGAGGCCATAATGCAAAGGCATGACGAGTTTAGAGCCTCTGTTTCCGAGGTACTAGAAATGGGATTCAATCCTTTGAGATCGACATTCGTATTGGCATTACATGCAATTTCTGGAAAAGGAAATAAAACAATATGGGCACGGTGTTATGAGACTTATAGTAAATTGGGTTGGTCGAGGGATGATATCTACACGGCATTTAGGAAACACCCAAATTGCATGATCTTGTCTGAGAAGAAGATCACTAGGACAATGGATTTTCTGGTTAATAAGATGGGGTGGGAGTCCAAAATGATTGTATCTTGCCCAATGGTTCTTTTCTTCAATTTGGAGAATAGGATAATTCCTAGGTGCTCCACCGTTCAGGTTTTGTTCTCAAGAGAATTGATTAAGAAGAAAGATGTGAAATTGACAACTGTGTTATTGCCTACAGAGAAATGTTTCTTGGAAAAGTTTGTGACCAAACATGAGAAGCAAGTACCTAAACTCTATGATTTCTATGAAGGGAAGATTCGCATTGAGGAATTGTGATTTATATGCGCTGAAAGTCCTAGTTATCTTTTGCATTGTGTAGACAAGGCTTACAGTTTTGTCTTTAAATCCATTTGCTTTGTATTAAGAACATTTTTTAGATTAGAGAAGTTCATTCCCGTGGTTCTGATAAGTTCCATCTTCTGCAGCCGATGATCTTAACTAAAATGTCTGATTAAGATCCAAGTTGAACATCGAATTTCCATTTCACCTTCTCGTGATGTTTTGTTTTGTAAATTTTGGGTTTTTTCAAGAGAATATTGTTATTTGTGGAATAGTTAGGACGAACATGCATGCATACTTGGTTAATCTTGTGTAGTTATTTGTATTAGGAATCATCTTAGTGTTGGTTTTGTAGCTGTCTTCATGCTATGGAGCAAGCTTATTATTTTCATTAATAAAAGATTAGCGTTTTAATTTACCCAATTCCCAATTTTACTTTGAGGTCAACTCTGCCTCTTGGTGAAGCTCCTTCCTCAAGATGTCATTTAACTTTAGTATATGATCACAAGAGCCAATTTGATGAACATGTAGCTGTTGAAGACTAAATATAAATATAAATAAATACATGAGTCTCATGTCCAAACGCTTAAGCTTCTAGTTCTAGATGAGGTGGTTCAACAGTACACTTGCAGAAACTTGCTTAATGTTCATTGAGGTTGGTCCATATGAATAAGATATCTGTGTTGTGCCTCTGACTGTCTGAAATACTACCTAGAAAAATATGAATATCAAGTGTCATGAGTAATTTCTGTGCCTATAAGAAAGATGTAAGCTTATATTACTCCCATGCACTGTGAGGTTTCAAGCATAGGTTGTTGGAGATCAAAATTCTACCTAGTGATAATATACGTTTAATTTTTAATAATATTTTGAGGTTTGTGTGAGTTAGAAAGCACCTCAATAAGCATAGTAAAGCTGGCCTCATCTTTGTCTGGGATTTGAATCGTGTGATCACTTGATGTTTGTTGGCCAGCCAAAGAGTTTGAGAGACTCTTAGTCTTGTTTGTATTACATCATATTTGTTAATAATCTTTATCAAGCTATAATTATGTTGCTCAGTTACTGATTCGATGTTTCCTGCGCTAAAAATTTCTAGAAAATTTCCGATCTCTCTTGCCATCAGTCGGTAAGTGCCTTTCAGTTGTCTTCACTGTCCATCTTTAACTATTGTAGACAGACTCTGTGTTTCATTATTTGAGGAAGGATCGTTTGCACTTGGATGGAAGGTGAGAAAAAGCAACACCCAAGAGAATTCCATTTTATGCACTTTTCCTCACTATTACCCCGTGTGCAGTACATATCAAAGTATAACGAGACCGTGGAGAACTGACATACCGATTCCTTTATTGATTTGCTTTGTCTGATGTTAACATGGGCGGATCTACTGTGGGGGTAGGGTCCCACACTAAGAGCTTGTTTGGGAATGATTTTGAGAATTGATTTTTTGACTGTTAAGAGAAAAGTGGAGTCCACTTATGAGAGAAGAAGTCAAATATGACGGCTAAAATAATGAAATAACGGTCAAAAAATCAAATTTTTTAGGGGAAAAAATCACTCCCAAACAGGCTCTAAATTTAAAATCCAAAATTTTGCAATAGATTTATTCTAGATTTTACACAAGATTTTCAAAAAAATTCTTTATAATTTTCAATTTTACCCCACAATTAGAATTTTGTAAAATTTTCCTCCACAGTTCTACTCTCCTGTCTCCGCCCCTTCATATTATATCTGTGATTCTTCTTGCACGTGACATTATCTGCCTGTTAGCATTTTCAGCAAGACGCTTGCATTACATTCTTGGCTAAGTACTTTCCCAGGTAATGGTGTCTTTCGTCTGGGATGTTTCGGTTGCTGTTTTCCTTTATCAACCATTTTAACTCCAGTCTTTTTGGAGGTCTTATAAATTAGAATGGCCGATATGATATATTTCGTGCTTGTATGGTACAGATTTTAAGCGAATTAAAATCAATTTTTTCACCGTTATTTCACTATTTCAACCGTCATTTTTGAATTCTTCTTATATAGGTAGGATCCACTTTATCTCTAACAGTCAAAAAATCAATTATCAAAATTTCTACCAAACAACTACTTCATATTTCAAATCTTGCATTATTTGGGGTCTGCCACTGATCTCGATTTTTTTTTTTTTGATATTCAGGTATTCTAGCTTACACTAGACTAAATCCTGGACCTCCAAGACTCTTGCCCTTAGAACCTTGGAAGGGGTAAATCGCAGGTAATGCCTCAATTGGATCACAGATTCCTCCTACCGCCTGTACATTTCTGCGTACAAGAGATCCACCTCCAAAGTGATTGTTCTATACCAAATAAATCTGGCCGCAGGTTCCACCAGGATTCGAACCTCCACCCTACCACTGAAAGCAAGACAAACGTTGATTGATCTCGATTTTTTGTTCCACCTTATGCAGACCGCATATGAGTTATATTAATATGTGGTCATCAAGATAAGCAAACTCTCTAACCTGTTGCCCTAAGGAATTCGATGATCTGTCGTCTCTTTATTCCTTCTTTTGGTTTATTTCGTAAAATTTCATCAAGTCCACTGTAACAAATTTTTGTAAATAGGTTTGTACAATCATAAAAACACATGATTATTATTAGTTTACAATTAATATCCACAAATAATTAAATTAAGCTGTTGTTTAACTATAGAATAGTATTACTTAGGGCTCGATTGATATGAATTTTGCTTTTGCTTTGACTTTTTGTCAAAATTTCTTTTAAGAAAGCTATTTTAATTTTTATTTGAAATTTGATTTTTAAAAAAGCTTTTTTATTTTGAAAGTATTTTTAGAGAAATTTACTAGTAGAAGAATCACTTTAAAAAAACTGGTCAAATGAATTCAAAAGCAATTTGGTTTTAAAATCTCATTTTTGACTTTTCAAAAATCAAATCAAATGGGTCCATAAGTGATAGTGGGACCATCTATAACTCTCGTTTGGCCCCCATTTTGTAAAAATGAAAATGAGTGAAATAATATTTTTTTGAAAAATGAGTGGTTGAAAAAGAAAGAAATTTTTTAAATTTACGTGTAATATTATTTTATAAAAAATTATGTGATTGAAACTAAGATAGAAAAAAATGAAATGTAATGAAATAAAAATTAATGGAGGCTAAAAGGGGGCTTAATTGGCCGATGAAAGTTAACTTGATTTTTGTTTTGTTTATAAAGAGTTAATTACATAAGTGGCTACTCAACTTTACCTATAATTGCTATTTACACCGAAAATTAAATAATTATTCAAAGCTCACTGAAACGTTCATTAGTTTACCCATTCATCACTATAGCCAATTCCATTTGTATAGGTGGACGTGGCATATAAAAAAATGACGTGATATACAAAATGTGTAAATCATAGTCATGTTATCGAAAATTTGTATTTTGTAAATAAAAAAAAGATT